AAAGCTTGCCAGCTCTCCTTTCCAATGACTAACAGTACATTCTTGCTGTATATGTACAAACACATGCTGAATTTGTGAGATCAGAGACTGGATATTTACTGTTAGCAAGAGTATTTGTTTATGATTCACAAGTATAATAAAGTCAATGTAATTTAACAAACAAATAATCGCAGAAAATACATTTCAACATTGCATGTCATCAACAGACTTAGATGCAGTGTGATATCTTTTAGAATCAAGTAATAATCTTCAATATGTAACAACACAGCATTTTTATAATAGAAAGGAGTTGCTGTAGGATGGCATATCAATAGATGAAATATTTTTGTATCCTGCCTTCTGAAGTAGCCCAATTCAGAGCTGTGACTGAAGGGAACCACAGACAAACACAGCAGCATCAAAGAACATGGTCTGCACCATGCACTTCTATCGGTTTTATTATCTTCCCATCGCAAAATAGGAAATACGTTTTCTTGTGGTTTAGTGAGATCTGATAACTTCTGTTATTAAAACAGGAATGTTAATTAAAATCAGGTCACTCATTAATTTAACATAATGACAGAGTATAAGCATGACCTTTTGAATAAGCAATTAAAAAGAAGGAAAATATCGAAGATGATTCTTAGGGAAATACTGGTAAACAACTGACCTTTATGCACTATAAATTAAATTCAAGCTAAGCATGATTTATCTTTGTTATTGTATAAGCTTTATAGTCAGAAACATGACAATTAGGTGTATTTTTTTCTTAATAGCTGAAATAACTAATAACAGACAAAAGAAAGGAAAAAAAAGGGGGGGGGGGGAACCCAAGAAAGTCCAATTGCAGATCAGGTAATCCACAATCTCACATCTTTTGTCTGCAGAATATATGTACATTTTTTCTTGTACTAGACAGGTTTATCTGAGGAAAAAAGAAAGGCAGAGTGAATTTAGTCCTGGAGAAATGAAACGTAAAGCAATACCTGAAAAATAGTTAAGCAATATACACTAGGTTATCTTATTGCTTGTATTGTAGCAGCCTAATTTATTTCTATCTACCCCATTGTTTAATTATAGATATAAACTTAGCACAATTCAAGAGCTATATAATGTCAATGAACATTACCTACATTTCGTGTTTCTATCTATTGATGCTGCAGTATTCCAAATAGCAATTTGTGGATTAGACCTTGGACTGCCAGCCCCAAAGGGGCATTTTCCAGCTGCTGTCAGCGTTGTTTGTTTGTGACAGGTTCTGTTCGTGCATCCCTTCATGTTAGTGCTTAGAAGACACATCTTCACGTAGTTGAAAGCATAGGTATGTTTAAATATTTATGGAATGAGAGGAATTTTAAAAATCTTCCTGTAAAAGACTGTTAGTGGGAATTTGCATGTTGAAGTACACATGCTGCAAGTACAAACAATTTTTAAAACTGCCTAATGAAAACACACTAGCACCCTAATATATATCATATTCACAAGAAAATGTTCTTTTTGTGTGCTTAGCCCAAAGTAAAGCAGCCCTCGTCAGAGCTGCTATCCCACAATGAACATGCAGTGTCATGTCCTGTGTGTAAATGTGGGCAAGGGCTGTATTCCAGATGTTGGGGGTTAAAAATATCCACTGAGTCACTCTGTGTCTCTTTGAGAAACAGTAGTTAGTGACTGAAAGATGACATCTTCATATTGTTAAATCTGTTCTTAAACACTGTTTGCATAAGTGACCAGAGCTCCTGATTTTGCAAAATCAAATAGTTGGTTCGGTGATGGTCAAGGTTCGCTTACTCACATTTGCACGGGAAAGAACTGGGAAGATGCTTGCCAGACGCTTGCTATCTTACTTAATAAGTGGTCTCTTAAAACACCTCTGTGCTTAACTGTTGCATGAAGCTTTCTGCTCTGTCTTGGGCACAGTCGTCTCTGAGGTGGTATGTGTATGTACGGGGAAGAGGGTGCTCAAATCTTAGGTTCTCGCCTGAAGAAGGCAATGGCAGGTGGTGCAGTATTTCTGATTGGTGCTATTTCACTCGCATCCAGCTCCGAGTTAGGTGTAAGGCTTCCTCTTCTCCAGCACAAAGTTAATCAAGTTGGTATAACCTGCTGGTGACTCCCATAGCACAGCATGGAAGGGAAGCCAAGTGCACTGAGCCAGGTAAAGGTAGCTCTTCCTGGTGACATTTCAGTTGCTTTCTCCAAGGTAAGACTGGTGCCTGCCCATGTGAGTTTCTCCTCCACCTTGTTTTGATGCAAACTGTCAGTAAGTTAGAATCACAGAACCATAGAACAGCCCAGCTTGGAAGTGACCTCAAAAGATCATCTGGTCCAACCTTTCATGGGAAAGTGAGCCTCAATGAGATTATCTAGCACCCTCTCCAGTCACATCTTGAAAACCTCCAGTGATGGGCATTCTACCACGTCCCTGAGGAGGTTGTTCCAGTGATTGATTGTTCTGACTGTAGAAAATATCTTTATCATACTGAGATGAAACCTCTCTCGGTGCAACTTGTACCCGTTGCCCCTTGTCTTCTCCATGTGGCTCCTTGTGAAGAGAGAGCCTCTGTCTTCTTTGTAGCCCCACTGTAAGTACTGGAAAACTGTGATGAGGTCAGAAAACTGTGAGTTAAGCTCACCTGTTCAGTGCAGCACTGGGAGAGAATGGGATAGAAGCATTCACACCTTCAGGGATAGCTATGAGCCATGTAAGTAGTAACTGCCTCCCTGCTGTTTGGTACCACCTTTCCTCCATCTTCAGCAGAGATGGTGGATGCACTGTATGCTAGCGCAGCTAATGAAGAATGCACATCCAGCATGCACAGGCATGATGACGTGAGCTGTGGATTGAGAGGGGAGGTGCGGAGCTGTGTCCACATCCTGTGGGTTACACTGAAGAGTGAGCTTCCCTCAGGTGTGCCACCCATTACTGGTACTCACTAGGGCTGCGTTGACAGAGTGCAGAAATCCACAGTGCATGAGAAATGTGCAGTGGATGTTATCCATGCAGCGGTGACCATCTGTGCTGGCTAGGTGGGCCCCATCCCTCCTCCCAGTGACAGGAGAGGGCTGTGTGCTACCTTGCCCACACCGCATGCCAGGATTTAATGCGTATGCCCGGTAGTCCTGCCACCGCCCCTCCCTGCCCCAGGAGCTGGCTGCTCCCGGCAACACGACTCCTGAAGTTGTTCTTGCGTATGTGGTCTCTTGTATATGCGTGTTTTTACCAAGAGTGGTTACTGAGTGCTAGCTCCGTTACACCCTGTACACGTTACAGGCTCTTCAGAGGCAGAGCAGATGCCCTATGCAAACGAAGGACCTTGTTATGGTTCGTTCAGCTGTTGTCCTTTTTCATGTTCGGTCTGTGAAGGACGGCATTTTGAGGGCTGCTGGAGGAATTTTTCACTGTAAAGGGGCCCAGCCATGCCTTTTAGATGATTAGCTCTCATTTTAAATGCAGAACCTGCTTTTAGCATGGACTTTTCGCATTTGTAATTTCCCTCGTCTGTTCTGCCCTTCTTTGGGACTGCTTGAGCCTCCTGAGAGCAGCGTGGTCCCCCTGCTGAATCTGAACTCTTGCTCTTCTGAAGGCTTTTGCCACTCACTGTCTGGGGAATCTTTGGAATGGATGGCTTTCCACTGCATACTCTTGTTTTTCAAACAAAGTTTCAGGAAATTATCCTTAGTCCAAAAATCGGCTTTTATATTTTTGCTGATCCCCCAAATTTAGTATTTATTACATAGGTATCTCACATGTAAAGAATAGTTTTCTAAGCACTGAAGTTCTTGAACACATCCAAAAATCTTTTTCTCTTCAGATAACACATGGACAGACAAAGAAGTTAAAAGGGATGTGATCATTATTTGATAATACTTAGTGTGCTTAGTGGTAAATCACACTGAGAGAGCAAGTAGCAGGCAATAGGCCCAAAGGGAAGAAAAACCAAACTGCATCATCTAAAATCAAGGTAACAGCATCTGGAGTAGTTTCCCAGAACTGTGAACAGTCTTCTCTTTTGGTTGTTCCACATATTTTCATTAGAAAGATGGTGCAACCATATAGCTCTAGTTCCTGCTGTATCAATTGGCATTGAACAGTTGTATACCCTGCACAATTGGTTAAATCCCATTGATAGTCCACAGAATTGTGACTCTTAATTATCTACGTCCTTTTAGGAAGTAGGATTAAAGTCAAGTTTTTTTGGGTGTTTTTCACCCAGGATTTTTTTTTCCTGGTGACATACTGGTAGTTTCTAAAATATATTTTAATTTGAAAATCTCAAGGTCCTCTCACAAACATTTGGCACGTTTCTTTTTTTATCATGGGTTCTCTGGGTGTTTCTGAAAAAAAACAATTAAAGATTGTGTTTCATGAGAAAGCTCCTACCCAGGGTCTATTGGCAAGAAGACTGAGTTTCTTGCACTGCAGGCAAGGTGGTTTTTTGTTGGGTTTTTTTTTTCCTTCAGAGGCATATGGGACTGTATTTTCAAGGAGCCAGCAGTCCCAACAGGGGGGCAAATTTTTCGTAAGTTTCTCCATGCAGAAACCTCTTGATTTATATGGCCAGATTTAATAAATCTGGTCAACTTGTGCGTTATGAACATTACTGCTAATTGGACCTGAAATGACTGAATTAAAGCATATGTCTAGACTGTAGGAAGAGCACCCCCAGTTTTTGTCCATTAATCACCAGAGGTGAGGACCAGATGGAGTGGTGTGGCTCTCTTTTGGCCCAGGTTTCCTTCCCATGGATTTGAAATACACGTCTGAATCCAAGAGCAAGGCAGTGCTGTTGGGTGTTACCATAAAGCAACAGCTCTCCTGAATTCGTGGAATAGCCATGAACAGAATACAGTCTTATCCTCTGTCTGATGGATGAAATAACCACTTGAATACTCTTTCTGTCTGCAAGAAAGTGCTATTACTAACTAAATAACCCTGCTCCCTTCTGCTGGAATCTGTCCTAGTATTTTATGGCAAAGTGTTAGCAGGTTGATTTGTTGATTTTTCCTCTCTTTCTTGACAGCTCCTAGACTGTTTTGTCATCCCAGTGGTGATACTGCTCTCCTGGTTTTTCTTACTGGTACGATACAAGGCAGTACATTTCATTGGGATTGTGGTCTGCATTCTGGGCATGGGATGCATGGCAGGAGCAGATGTCCTCGTTGGGAGACAGCAAGGAGCAGGTGAGTAAGGATGGATGTGTTGTATGACCAATTTCTACTCAGAGAAGCCATTGACCAGAACATGTCAGGTTGGGACAAAAAAAAAAAAAAAAACAGAAAACCATCAAGAAGCCCTGTGCCTTCATGGATCCAAAGCACTGCACCATTCAAAGTTGCATCTTTGTCAGAAGGGTCAGAGGACAAAAATGGGTCAACACTTCGAAGTCAGCAGTGCTGCAAACAGACTTGGTACTTGGTGGGCCCTGTGTCTGCAACCCAGATCACCCTCTGTGCAGGCCAGGGGGACAAGCTAAATATTTCTAGTTTCCTTCTGTTACAGCTTAGTTGTTTGACTGCAAACCTCAGTTGCTTCCTTTCCAAACTTGCTACATCTTTGAATCATAAGCACCTCTCCATCCACTATGTACTCTTACTTCTCAACTTTGCTGCTTTTTTGTATGGAGGTGGAGTTGCTGGGTAGATGCTAAAAGACACCTAACCTACATACTAACTGTACCAAGTGGGTTATGCACACAGTCCCAGAGTAAAGGTTTGGGATTTGCCTGCATCATTGTTGAAAAGAACCTTCTTGTGTGTAAAATGTTCTTTTTTATGTGCGGCATCATGCGAATAATGTGTGTGTAGCTATTAATGCAGACTAGACAGAGCTAGATTTCATTGATCAACTCCCTCTGTCACATTGATTTCTCTAGTGCCAACCCAAATGATGTGGGAAGGCTGGAAATCCTTTTCAAAGATTGTCAATTAGGCACAGTTTTCATTCTTAATTAAAAGCACTGAATTGTGAGCTGAGCATAATACACTGGGATTTAAAATTCTTGACTCAGCTTTCTGAATACAAATGCAAGTGCTGTAAGAACTGCATTTGCCAGGATGCTACTAAATAAAACAAGGGAGTTTGTGACAGTGCTCACTATATCTCCCTGCCCCCTTTTATCCCTGTCCTTTTTTCTAAAAGGAGACTTTCAGTTCATTGGTCTCCTCCAGAAATAGCCCTGCCCCAACTAAAAAGGAAAGAATATACTCTGTACTATGAAATCAGCCAGCCAAAGCTGCATGAGGAATGACTGATTTCGGAGGAACTGGGATTTCAACCCTGGGTTCCAGAGGAAACATCCTGTGTCCCAGTAATCTAGAGAGTAACATGCTGGGGCAGGTGAGCAGTGGATCAGCAGGAGCATGCAGGGCAATGGACCTCAGCGGAAAAGGAACAGATTGAAGAACACTGACACTTTGCCATCCGACTGCAATAATTAGGTATTATTTGCCATATTCATTACTAAAGCATGAGTATAGCTGTTAGGTAAATTTGTCCAGAAAAATCAGTTAACATGCATTATTGCCTTTTAATTTGGACCTACACATGAAAAACTGTGTCCATGCTTATTGCTACACAGACTGCAGCTTTTTTTTTAAGTGGCAAAATTATGTTATTAATGATGATGTCTTTAACAGAGTAAAATAGATCAGCTGGTTTAATTTATCTGAAGGGGTAAAACCATACATTAAAAATCTACAAATAAAAAGGAAGTATTGGCAGCAAAAGAAAAAAATTCTTGAAACTCTTCATTAAGAGGTTCACACCATTTATAGGATATTTCCTAGGACTGGGCAAACAAAAGAAAGGAGTACACCAAAAGCAATGATGCTGTATTAATCCTCAGTAAACTCCTCTGTTTATCCTATATTTTAGGGGACGCCTGTGTGCCCCTGTTGACCGTGCTATTTACTGTATTAGAAGTGCCCTAAGGCTCTGGTAGGCACCTACTGCATACAGCAATCTAGCCTGCCAACTCTACGAGTAAGTGAAAATGAATTTAAAATGCATCACTGAGAGATTAACAGGTATTTTCCAAACTATCTGCAGGAATTAAGTATAATGTGCAGGCATGCTCTCAACTTTCAATAAATGTATGGTAGTTTACCTCTTTTTATTGTATCCTGACTGATGTGTGAAAAGCAATCGTGTCAGAACGTAAATCATATTTAAATGATTTATGTTACACTATAGTGCTATAACTAGTCCCCAAAACATTAATTCCTCTCTGGACTGTATGACTTCTGCTTCCAGAGAACATTAAATATGCTAACAATGATTAATGCAAAACGTGTTTTGCCAAGCTATGCCTAGTGCTTCTTCAGAAGAATGACCTATGCCATTAAATTGGTCAAGTACAACTGTATTAACCTAAAAGTCTTTAGAATGCCTCTAATCAGTTGATACATATTTCTTTAGCAATAAACCAGTAGATACATGTGGATTTTACATCCACGAAAATAAGTCTATTAGGCTATGTCAGTCTTGGGGGAAGAATCCAAAGTCAGCCTCTTGAAGAAGCAAAGAAAAAGCATTTGACAACCAGGATGCTAGAAATTATTAGGAAAGAAACCAAAACTATAGTATAAAACATTTTTATGCCAGTATATAAAGTTTTGATGCACTAGCCTCTTGAGTACCATGTATTACTCTGATCACTGCATCTCAAAAAGAAAGGACCAGAAAATAAGCTTATAGAAGCAATGGAGAAAGGTGAAAAAGCTGTTCAAGGGCATAAAATGGCTTCAGGATGAAGAGATTGTAGGGAGACTGGGACTTTTCATTTCCCAGAAAAGGCAAGAAAGAGACAGAATATGGTAAAGGTACTTGAAGTCTTTAGTGGTATGGACAGGGTCAATACCGAGTGATTCTTAAATATTTCTCACAATCAGAAAATTATGACATGCCCAATGTAATTCTCAGGTATCAGCCTCGTAAAAACACAAAGTACTTTTTAATAGTGCATGCTTTAACCGGGTAAGTTACTGCCACAGGGTGTTGTAGAGGCCAAAACTATACGGACTTTACACAAATTGATGAAGAATCCCTCAGGATCTATTAAGTTTGATGGTCTAATGCAACTTCCATCTCAAAAAATCCTTAATCTGCTGAGAACTGGCTGATAAAAATCCCCCTATGCTTCCCTATTTCTTCATGCTTTCCTCAGCCACCCTGTGCTGCCCAGTGCCAGAGCAGGGTCCTGGGCTAGACATACCCGTGCTTTGACCGGATTTTGGCTTCCTCTTCTGGGGAAGCCCTGAAGGTCGAGGCTCACACTCTCCGAGCATGAGTGTGCTTTTGGGGAGAGTCATCGCAGTGTGGTCCTTGGGGCCGTCCCATCTCTATGAAGACGCTCGGCCTCTGAGCCATCTTTGTTTCACAGATGCAAATGGATGGTATTTTTGTCTCAGCAGTTCAGCTCAGCCAAGCTCTAAGGTCAAAAGCTTTTTCAACAGTACTTCCCCGAAGTGTCAGTGAGTAGCTGTAATAAATACCAAATGAATGAGCTCAGTGAGGGATGATTGGAGCCACTGTGGAACATCAAATGCATCAGGGGTATGAAGAGGTTTTGTAAAGTGCTGATGCTTATTTTAAATTAAGGGCATCTTCTGTGGCTGATTGCAAAAGAAGGCTAAAAGGAAAATAAGTACCAAATCTTAAAAAGTTACATGGTCAAATATAAACATGCTGTCAGTCAAGGTGCATGCAAAACAGAAATTCAGTGAGAGACTGGATGAGTACGTGAAAGAGAAATCTAGTAATGTTTGCTAAATACACAGGAGCCACATCTCCTCTGAGCTGAAAAATGTTGGAGACTAAGAGAGTATTACTGGGAGTATTTTAAACATTTGCCCTGTTTCTATTCGTCCCTAAACAACTTAGACTTTTCTGGTGCTTATAGCCAGCGTTGGAGGCAGGGTACTGGATAAATAAACCCTTGGTCTGTCTTCTTATGACCACTCTTATTTTCATAAATTTCTTTTCACTGGAAATTTCAGAACTGTAGTTTGGAATGAAAACTGAATGCTTAAAAGAACTCCATAAAGAAAAATGTTGAAAAGATTGTTTTGAAACAATCAGAATGTTTGGCTTCCATTTTTATTTACTGCAGTGTGTATTTTACAAATCAAAAATAATAAAACTTAAAAAGGCAGGAACTCAAAAATAAGAGGTATTTTAAAAGAAAACAAGGTTTCTTTCAAAAAAAATTACAGTCTAGTACTTCAGCATTTCTGCTGATCCTTTTCAAAGGAAATTCCATTATATCCAGCCTTTCGGAATATGGTTCTGCAGCCATGTCTGACAGCTTTGTGAAGCTGTAGCTCTTGTAGGAATCATTTAACAAGCCATATGTGCAGAGGGAATCGCGTGCACCAGTTTGCAAAGCCAGGGCCTCAGTTTTTAAGCTGGAACTCGATCTTGATCAAATCTCCCTGCAGCCCTCCTCACCCCCCAATAATAAAAGCCTCCAAGACTTAAAAAGAGTTCAAAGTGTCTTTGATAATACAATGTTTTAGTAATTATATATACCTGGAGTACTAAAAATACATCTTGGTGTTCATTGCATGCATTAGGTACTGCTATGTTAATTGAACCTCTTTCAAAAATCTGTCATTATCATCACCCTGTCTACACCCCATCCTTCCTCCTCTCTTGTCAAACAAACAGCTTCATGTGAGAATGAGGTCAATAGTGGGGTTGTAATGATTTCTTCACTCATTTCACAGGTACACAGAATTTTTCACTTGGTTTCACATCTAAATACTGGACATGTTTTAGACTGGTTAGATTTCAAGATGAGATGCAAACTGCTTTATATAGCTGAGTCACATTCTATCTGCAAAAAAATAATAATAATAAAATAAAAAGAATTAGTCACCAAAGAGTGCCACTTGGATTCTATATTTTTTACAAATTTTTCAGGTTCTTTCAGATTCTCTTATCCACAGCAAGGACAATGCTCTCCCTTCACCTCTGCTAGATTTTGCTGGGGTATTGAATGAAGACCGTTAAAATGACAGAACATTTGCGTTCAGCTTATTAACCCAGATATGGGCTACTTAGTGACTAAGGATTGAAATCTATAGGGAAGAACTTGCAATGGTTCTAGACAAAAGATGGTTGTTTTGAGACATTCTGATTTTTCCCCTGTTTATTCCTAGGTGAAAATAAACTGATAGGGGATCTCTTAGTATTGGGCGGAGCAACGCTATACGGAATCTCGAACGTTTGTGAGGAGTATATCGTCCGAAATCTGAGTCGAGTGGAATTCCTGGGCATGATCGGACTCTTTGGCTCCTTCTTCAGTGGAATTCAGCTGTAAGTGAGCAGGTTTGAGCCCCAAGGTCATTCAAATAAGTGCAGCTGTGGCCTCGGTTGAGGTAGCCTCTCTTCAAAGGTAGCCATTTCCTGTGGAGAGTAGGTGTCCTCTAATTCTGGAATTTGCATTGGTTTTCATATTTCAGATTGGTGGATTTGAATAATAACACAAATTTGCACCTAAGTACTCTAAATTAAGGGGCCTACAGGAAAGATGGGAAGGGACTCTTTATCAGGGAGCATAGTGATAGGATGAGGGGTAATGGTTTTCAACTGAAAGAGGGTAGATATAGATTAGATATTAGGAAGAAATTCTTTACTGTGAGGGTGGTGAGACACTGGAACAGGTTGCGCAGAGAAATTGCGGATGCCTCCTCCCTGGAAGTGTTCAAGGCCAGGCTGGATGGGGCTTTGAGCAACCTGGTTTAGTGGAAGGTGTCCCTGCCTGTGGCAGGGGGCTTGGAACTAGAAGATCTTTACGGTCCCTTCCAACCCAAACCATTCTATGATTCTATTACTGATGTCCTTGAATAGTCACATGGGTAGGGAGGAGTAGAAGACACATCTTACCACATTGTTGCTTGAAGACAGGTGGATACTTCCTATGTTGGTCTGATCTGTGAATAACAAAATCTAGAGCTCTCTCTGGTTTCGTTTCCTACTTTTAAAAAGTCACTTAGAGTTCTAAACAGGTAGAAAACACAGCCAGTCAGAAGGTATTTAGCTCATATATGTACTTTTTTAACAAGGTGGTAAAAGCTTGCATATTGGGAGAGGCCAATAATGTTTCTGCTACTTCGTTCCATGAAGCAATTCAGCATTTTCTTACCTTTACCTGTAACGAAGAGCAGACATTATATAGTTATGAGTTCCCAGAGGTTTAATCTAACTAAATATACCAGTTGTTTAAAAGAGAAGCCAGCTCCCCGTGTTACAATTGCCGACTCTTTCTTTGAAACACTACTGGCCAGTGTGGTGCAATATAGGACCTTTAGGTCCTATAAACTGAAGTAATCTGAGGAAGAAATGTCTCAAAAATAAGGCGGTTTCCTAGCATGCTAGGCACAGTGCTCGTTAAAGTTTGGTTGGCATCCACAAAGTGATTGAGGATAGGGAACATGTGTGCTAATACCACTGGAGGTAGTCTCATGTTCATAGATTTTACAGGGAGCAATACAATTTTGAAGAAGGGAAAATATTGAAAAGTGTGTAGGACTATGCTGAATGTTGGAAAGACAAAACAGTACCCCCAAGTGAATGTCCCCTTCATTGACATGCACTGATCTCAAAATAATATGGTATCAAAAAACTGTGGCATTTGCCTTATATTCCATGCATAAGTACAAATATCTACGTAAGTGTGGGTGACTCATGTTCGTTCATGCTTCAGCTCTAGTATAGGGCTGTGTCTCCAAGAGGACTTTCAAGAAGTAGGCTGTTGTTTTCTAAAACAGTTTAGCAAGAGTGGCTAATATTAGACTGTAACATAAAATAAACCCAGATAATGCCTGTTGAACTGCAAATGAAGGGCTAAGGTGTCAGGGCAAACACTGAAGTAAAGGAGAGAGTTGGCTAAGTACCTGGGCATGGTGGAAAGAGTTTAGTGGGTTGAATGTGATTAAAGCAGGGAGGAACTGTATATCAAAACAAGAGAAGTTAGTTGTGGATATAGCAACTACCCAGCAAATGGAGATAATGCTGTCTGATGGAATCACATAATCATAGAATAACCTACTTTGTAATGGACCCCTGAAAGTCATCTGGTTCAAGCCACTACTCAAAGCAACTCAAAGCTAACTTCAAAGTTACATCAGGTTGCTCAGGAACTTGTACAGTTAACTTAATATCTCCAAGAACTGAAATGCCAGTCTTGCTGGCAGGGCAGCCTGTTCCAGTGCTTGACCAAAATTTTTTTTCCTTATATCTAATCAGAGTTTTCCACATTGCAGCTTGTGTCCATTGTCATTCATCCTTTTGTTGTGCACCTCCAAGAAAAATCTGACTCTATCTTTTCTGTAACTTACCCATTAGGTAGTTAAGAGAACAAATTTATTGTCCTGTCCTCCTTCACCCCAGGTTAGCCTTCTCTTCTTCGCACTGAACAAACCCTGCTGTTTCAGCATCTCTTACATCATGTGCTCCAGCTGCCTGACCATTTTGATTTAGGTCCACTGTACTCCCTCCAGTTTGTCAATGTCTGGGCAGCCCAATATTGGATACAGTACTCTAGCTGCTGTCTCACAAATTACATCCTTCAACTTGCTGGCCAGACTCTTACTAATACAGCCCAGGATGCTGTTGGCCTTCTCTACTCCAAGGACACATTGCTGACTCATGTTCGGGTTGATGTCCACTAGGACTCCAATGTTTATTTCTAAAAAAGCAGCTTTCTATCCAGTCGGCTCCCAGCCTGTACTATTGCACAGGGTTATTCCACCCCAGGTGCAGGAGTTCATATTTGCTTTTCTTGAACTTCACGAGGTTTATCTTGGCCCTTTTCTTAAGACTACATAGTGGGTAGTCCACCCATCCAGTCTATAGCTCTTCAGTCTCTAAGGATCTTTTGAGAAATCATGTTGGAAGCTTTGCTGAAGTCAAGGTGGGTTACACCTCATCCTCTCATCCATTCCCTCTCCTTTGTTTACTGAGCCAGTCATCTCATCATAGAAGGCAGTCAGTTTGGTCAGGTATGGTTTGCTCTTGAGAAGTCTGTGCTGGCTGTTTCCAGTCACCTCTTCTTCATTTCCTGCAAATGGCTTCTGGAAAGATTTGCTCCATAATCTTCCCAAAGGTTAGCATAAGTCTGTCCAGGCTATAGTTTTTTCTTTTTTTGAAACTGAATGTTGCATTTGTCCTTTTCAGTCATCAGGGACCTCCTCCAATTACCACAACCTTTCAAAGATCATTGTGGTTCCAATTCTTCAGTGAATCTGGCATCACTAAATGGCAACTTCTGGCAAAGTTGCTCTTACCCCTCTTTGTTTCACAGATCATAATGAATCACAGACCATAGCATGTTGTTTTATACTTTTTTGTGTCGGGTAGGCAATAGTATGAAAACAATGTTCCTACATTTAAGTTATATCAAAATTTGTTTGCCAGAACAAGAGACGTTGCAGTTTGTTTTCATTATATTCTTCAGGAATCGCTGATAAAACAAACATATGCCTTATGCATGCAGACACTTATAATTCAGTTATTTTGCAGACAAAATAATCTTATTATTCTGTACACAGTATTAGATTTGCCACACATCAGCAGCAAGCAAATTAGAATTTCCAGGGTGCAACTCTCTAGACCAGACTAATCTGGAAGGCACTGAATTCCTGCAGTTTTAATATTAGACTTGGTCTTCCATATGCCACCTTTTGTACTAAGTACTTTGTTTTTCAATCTGTGTAATTCCATGTTTTATACTTGTTTAAAATAGTGTCCAGACTAGCATGCAGAGTTCTGCACAGCAGGAGTTACCTGCAAATCACAGATCAGAGAAAGCGGTTAGCTGAGTGAAGACCTAAGTCATGAGATACCTAATCTCCAAGGGTCTATTTGCCTGGATTGGGAAGAGCTGACTTGTTGCCACCTTAGAATTTTCTAGATCTGGGATTTTGATGTTAATGTACAATGCAAGACTTAAAAGATGTTGAAAGTGGACTTTGGCAGCTTGGCCCATCCTTTGCTTTGTTTCCTGACTTTCATTGCTGTAACTGTTTGATCTTTCTCAGTGTGTAACAAATCACAGTATTCTCCCCAAAGCCATCCTGTGATATCTATTTATTTGACACTGCAGAGCTGCTCTGAAGGGTGAATAACTCAGACAGATACATTATTAATCATTAAAGTTCAAAAGCTTTCAGAATATTAAGTCAGAAGAGTACAAGAGGACTGAACATATAGAGGGATGGGCACTTTGAGCAGGTATATAGAGAGCTGGAAATAAACCAGTACAAATTACATGCTATCACATCTGATTACTGCCCTGAAGTTCTTTCAAATACATGGGCACACGGATAATGCCAGAGTGGATTAGCAAAGTCTGACTGCATTTGGTTCCTACAGAGATTTTTTGTTATAAGGTTATTTATGTTGTTTTGTCCAGCATTTGAATTGAATGAGTGAAAGTAATTTAACTTCTGTTCTCTTCCATCAAATTTTGCCTTCTCTTCTCTTATAGTGCAATCATGGAACACAAAGAGCTGTTGAAAGTTCCCTGGGATTGGCAGATAGGTAAGAAAACACTTTACATCATTGAAGACAGTTGCTGAAGGAGGCGTGGAGACAACCAGTGTTTGGAGAGGCAGGCACAAAGTTTCACAGGAGCCAATGTTTGTGACTTTTCCGCCAGTCACTGCCAAAGGTTGAACCGCATGCCTCATAACCTTTCTTAAATGATCTGTCCTCCCATTGCCGTATTATGCCTTCCTTGCACCATTAGGTTAAGCATATGAATGCCATAAGATAATTATTCAGGCAGCCATGAAGTAAAACAATAATGGGGTTCCAGTTCTAAGATTCAGTGAGACACTGGGACAAATAAATAAGGTAGTCATTAAGAGCCAAACCTTTTCAATGAATGCCAAAGAAAGAAAATGGAACCTAACAAAAAGCTATGAAAGTACTTGCAGTGCATATTATAGCCCCATAAACTTATTTCCAAGGGGAGCATTTCTGTATGCAAATGGTTAATTGCTTTCCAAGTAGTCTTGGTGGAATATAGCAGATGTGTCTTTTAGACAAGTTTAGGTAGCATCATGCACAATGAAGCTCTTACAGTGTTTTGCTGTGCAGTGCATTGCATGTTCCTATTTCAGTTTGGAAGCTTGAGTTTATGATCTAAGACTCCCTTCTAATTAGCCCAACAAATTACTTGCTTTAAAAGCGAATCGACATCTAGGAGAGTCCCTATAATCACTCTTTTACTATTTATGACAATAGAAGAAATAAAAGAATACTAATATTATAGAGCTGATATACTTAGCAGGGGATTGAAGCTTTGGCAATCCATTGACAATAGCTTGTTACCTGGTTTCAGAATGAACATCAAAATGAAAGCTCAGAAGTGTGCAAAGGCAACTGATGATGTGGGGAGTCCCTGAGGACAGGCGATACAAGTTGCGGAATACACTGTTGTTTTCTTTAATTTCCTCTCATCATCATAAACCTTAATAAAAACGGTGCATCTTTCACAAAACACTGCACCTAGAAGTCTTGGAGATTTGATGGTTGAGCTGTAAAACTAAATGACAAATCAATTTAAAGTATCCATGGAGAAACACACTCTACTGCTTACTATAAGTGTATTGGCCTTCTTTAATCTGAGATAATTAGCATAATTGCATCAGTGTTTGTTTATACTTCATGATAAGGAGCTCAGGGACATAATTAATCTGGTACTGATGAAACTAGCAATGGTCATAGTGAATTAATCTACTATCCATGTAAATGTCATATATACTTCCATGGGAGTTCTGTTGTAACTCAGTATCAGTGAAATGTGCTATTAAAATAAAGTCTTACTTGGTCTGTGATGCCATTAAAATGTCATTGAAAGTTAGTCACTAATTCTGAAGAGTCCCTATGCTTCTAAGGAGGAGATCATCTTAGCAAGAGCATCGTGGATATGTACTTGTTTTGTTAGAGCAATAATTGGAAATGCGGTGCAGTTGAACATGGATTAAATGGTGACAATTATGTGTAGTTTTGTGTTCTTCCCTGGCTGCACTCGCTGTGCTTTCTATTGCATTGGCATTGATACAAGGTTGTCAAGTAGTGATTGACAAATCTGTGTCAGGGTGTTCACAGCCTTGTCCTGAATAGTTATCCACCGCGACAGACTCAAACCAGCAGTCCAGCAGAGTTAAATCATCAGCCTTCTGAATGTTAGTGATAAAGTCACAGCAGGCAATCTAATAAATAACTCAAGGTGGCCTGTTGCTATCTGCCATAATTGTGCTATTAAGAATGGATGAGCTACCTTTCAGCTGATGTAAAATGCAAATGATTTTGGACTATAAAGATCTAAAGCCAATCTGTTATGTCTATCATGTTTAAAACAGGCTGTGGCCCTCCTGGTTTTAATTTTGGAAATTCCCCTGATACATAGCATCATCTTCACATTTAGTATAAATCAGTGTAGCTCTGTTTGAATCCTTGAAGGTTTAAGTATTAATACTTGCTGACAACCTGACTAAAAGGAGAATGATGATACTGTTCTGACTGGTTTCATATGAGACCATGACACATTCTGCAGAGTGATACATGAAATAATAACAAATAAATTAACATCAGTATTATTTAAGAGAAAAGTGAGTTTGAATCTCCAAGGAAGTGTTCTGTGTTACAGGGGATTTGAATATTTCTGAATGGTCTTTATTCCAAGAAAACTGCATGAAAAATCATAACGGATTCCATTTCATCCCAATGAAATGATAGCTTTTGGAGTGAAAACGCAAAGGATAAAACATGCAACATTCAACCACTATGCTCAGGAGCTAAAACAAGTTCCCAAGGCATGTTAGTCTTGGTGGTACTTGGGCTACTTTAGAGCAGTCCCTGGGGGCAGATCCTGCCCATTTATGTGAAGGTGCCCAGTCTTAAGATAAGTGAGGATATACTGAGGGATTGGGGCTTGTTCAGTCTGCAGAAGAAGAGGCTTCGAGGAGTTACATACAAGGAGGTTATCAAAAGGACAGAGCCAAGGTCTTCACAGCGGTGCATGGCAGGAGGATGAGGGACAATGGGCAGAAGCTTAAATGAGAGATTCAGACTGGATAAAAGGAAAATCTTCTTCACACTGAGGACAGGCAGGCAGTGGAGCAGGTTGCCTAGAGAGGTTGTGCATTCTCCATCCTCAGAGGTTTCAAGACCAGGCTGGACAAAGTCCTGAGCAACTTGGTCTCATCTCGCAGCTGAGCCTGGTTTGAGCAGCGTTTGAAGTAGAGAATTCTGAGCTCCCTTCCAACCTGTATCATCCCACGATCCTATGATCCTAAGTGCCCAGTTCAGACACTTACGAGGCATTCACACCTAAACTGACAAAACTGGTGACCTTACCCATCAGGGTGAGCACTGACAGACAAGGTGGGATTTCTTCCACCAGCTTTAGATATCTGGGATGTGGACATCTGATTTAGTTAAATAGACTCCCTTTATCATCAGCAAGAATAAACAGGCATGACAGAAATCATACTATGCTAAAGCTGGTGTCTAAAAGAGGTTGGACAACCTGCACCCTAAAATTTCCCAATCTCTTCATTGACCACCAACCCTCAGTATGTGTCCAGAGTTAGGTGTAAAGAATCCCACCCACAGCTGCCTTCATGCAGATTAAGCCTTCAGTTCAGGACAATGCCAGCACATCTGAAAGCAGACAGTTATGAATTATGAGCTTCTCAGGGTTTAACACAGACCAGCTGATCAGCAGATCATTACAAAACCATCCTCCTAACTTACCAGGTTGCTTCCTTCCAGTGCCTGCTGCAGCCAGTCGGTGCCAGTGGCTCAGTGCCTGGTTAGATGCAGGTCCCAGCACCTGGGACTGGAGCACGAGTGGCGATTCCCAAGGCTGCCGTCAGCACTGCAGGGGTACCCAAGGAAGCTGAGGCTCCAAGCCTTTGACTTAAAACATGTTTTTAGTCTGAAAACGGGCCCTCTAAGAAGCAAGATCTGAAAATCAAATGATGTTATTTCCAGTTTGCTTCTTGTCGTCACTAAATACTATCCAGCTGGTGAGTATTACATGTATTTTTAAGATGTAAATGAAATGCCACTTTACATTCACCTCTGATAGGACAGCTACAGTTTAAGGAATTTTTCACTGGAACTGAAATGCCCTTTGGAAAAGCATCCTGTGAAGTGCATGTAGTTGGCTGCCAAAGAATATGAACACCAAGGCAGTACCATAAAATTATACTGTTAGTTGAGAGCGTAAGCCAGCAAAGCACCTGAATATGTGTGTTAAATCCAGACTGACTAGCAGGGGCTCAGTGGACCAGCTGGTGGTTTGCAGACTGTACTTTGAGAATGCTGACTTTGGGTCCAGAATGGCTTTTGCGCCTGACCTGTTCTTGATTTAAGCCTGGAAGAAAAGCTGACTTAATGCTCTTGTATGCAAACAATTTCTCATTGATCAAAACTACGCTCCATTTGATGCAGTCATTTGCTTACTACAGAAGAGTTGCAGAGTTTGCATAAAGCAACTCTTTCAAGCACTGCCCAAGACTGATTCCGTTGTTACCCATATACAATGCACACCTTAAAAATTTGCTACCTGTTATTAAAAGCAGTTCTTACTGTGATTATCCATATTCTGAATCTAAATTCACATTCGTTATCACGCCATAACAATTGATACGCAGTCACTGACATTTTGTCACTGCTGTATTTGTTTCAGATGAATATACACTTCAGTTGAGATGCTTCTAAAGGACTCAAACTACCACGGCTGATTTTGTCCTCTAGATAGCTTTTCTATGGAGTTTTTAACTAAGCTGATCTACAAGCAGATACAAATCATATGGGCTTTTTTCCCCCCTTCTAATTCCTTTCAGGACTTTGGCAATCAGATTTTCTGCAACTTTTAGTCAATAACAACATGCTCTGAAGAGCTGGCGTGAGTCTAAATTTAGGCTCGTGCACATATCAGCTGGGAATTCTACAGCATACGGCAGCCTAAGAAATATCATTTGCATGAGAGCAGATGAGTGAAGTGTTTGCTGTTTTTTTAACTTCATATTGATTAATGTGCCTTGGGATTTATCAAGTAATAACTGAAGCAATGAATTCTTTCCCAGTAAGTTATTTAGGTTTTTAAATGAAATTAGATTTTTACTGTACTATATTTTTATTATATTAGTGTCTAACAATCTAATTTGTGTGAGGCACTCTGTAAACATGTAGCAAGAAATAGTCTCAGCTCCGGAAACCTTTATTAAGGAAGGCAGACAAAAAACGGTAGAGGAACAGAAGCACAAAACTGTGAAGTGATTTATCAGATTTGGTGGCAAAATAGGACTAGGACCTCTGTCACTTGAGTGCTGTCCTCATGCATTCATCCATTGGCTCATTAACTCCTCTGCAAATACTTTTGCATTCATTTTTAGGGTGCGTTCCCAGACAATATTGTGTGCTCCATCCAACTCAGCTGAACTCAGATGGTGTTGGGGACATTCAGCTCCTTAAGGGACTAGATTCAATGTGTCCAAATGCATCATTTCATCCAAATTTATGTTGGACATGAGGTATTCACTAGTAGTATAGGAGGCTAATTTAAAACAGCACTGCTGTTATGGGGACCACAGAGAGCAGACCTTGTGTCCACTGCTGTGTAGGTATGGTTTTCACTGGTTTTCATTTATATTTAGAATGATGCTCTTTATATATATATATATATATATGTTCATCTTAATAATTTGAATCCATGTTTTTTTGAAAAGCATTCTTCATCCTTTTTTAAAAACACAGCCTTCTTCCCAACACGAGTCATTTCTGCAGGCTATGGAAGGTCACTCTGCTTCTTGTTTCTCTTCCGCAGGCTTGTTGTATGTCGGCTTTAGTGCCTGTATGTTTGGCCTCTACAGCTTTATGCCAGTGGTCATAAAGAAAACCAGTGCTACTGCTGTCAACCTCTCCCTACTCACGGCTGACCTGTACAGCCTCTTCTGTGGATTATTCCTCTTCCACTACAAGGTATGTGGAAATGAGAGATGTATTTGGGTAATAGCTGTAAGCCTGAAGAAATACCAGTGCAGAACAATGAAACAAAAGAAGCCTTCAAGCTTTGCTAGATCTACACAGTAAAAGTGCAGATTTTTTTTTATAGTTCAGGCTTCCCACACCAAAACCAGTTTTATTCTATGATTTCCAGTGGCTAAAGAGAGCTCATTTGGTCTTGTTATTACAAGATTTAAGATTTGAGTACCTGTTCATCAGCAACTGCATCACTAATTTCATTTTACTTATCACAGGTAACTTTTAAATGCTGTGACTGGACTCGGGGTGGGAGCATGAAAGTAAAGACTCTTCCAAAAATCCTATAGAAATTTTTTGCCTGGTAATAACATTGTTTCATTCATACCGATTCTGAATTTATTACTCATAATTGTCCATGAATTACACCTGTCTTGTCAGCCAAACCGGTGGCTTGCCTGTTAGTGTAAATGCCAAAATGAACAGCAGATTTGTGTTGAAATTAAACTTTTATTTCTCAGGTCCTCTAATATTTACAACACTGTGTTGTACAGGCGCACATTTGGTCTCCAGTTGCAAGGAATGGCACTTCATTATTCACAAGTATCCCCCTCCAGTGTCCATCACATGAAAGTGGCATCAGGGTGCCATAGGCGATTGCTTTGTACCATCATTTATTCATAAGAGGGAGGTTACTTGATAACTAAAATGATGGCCCAGAGAAGCGTTAGGCAAATGAAAGCCTTAAAATACCGAGTACCTAACCAACCCAAAACAGATTTTGTGATACTGAATGAATCTGAATGAGACAGTGAAAGTTCAAAGCTTCAGAGTCCAACATAAAATTGGTTTTCGCTATTGCCTTTTATGTTGTAGTTATGGCTTTAAGAATTCTGCAGACAGAAGAAAAGGAACTATAAAACAAAAATTTTACTGAGAACACAGTCTGCTCCCTTGCAGGGAGCATGGTGTCTGTCTCATGGTGATTTGCTTCCTAGTTCTTTCTGCCCCACACTTCAAATGCAAAGTGTTTGACATTAGGTATTAGCTGAAAATTGTTATCCCCTGTTAATAATATTATTTGATACCCATAGCAAAATATATTTAGTGATGTTAGTCCAGCGTTCCTAAGAAAAATGTCTATGTTACACAATAAAAGACAGACAAATTTAATTCTGAAAACAGTGGTGGTGTTTTAGCAAAATCAAACTCTGTCAGAGCGAGAGACTCAAAAGGCAGCAGGGGTTGGACAGCTTTGTGCTCAGCATTGCTCAAACCTGACAAAAAAGGCAATTTTGCAAACACAAACCTTGAACTTCAGGCACTTAAAAGGCAGAAGCTGCATAAAAGGTTTCATTTTTTCCCTGTATCTAATTGTTGGGTACACTGGCAGAGTCAGGAAGGCAGAATTTTCAACCTCATTGACCCCCTGTCTTTCTACTGTATGTGCATGTCAACTCTTGACCACAGTGGCACTTTGGCCTCCCTTTAAGACCCATACTGAAAAAGTGCTGAGGAGGAGAAGGCTCAGAACTGGAAGCTCTTCTGGTTGAAAGCAAAGTCTCATCATCTGTCCTGATAAACCAGTTAAGTTCCACCTCTGAAGTAGCTGGTGGTCCCCTCTGTGCCTTACTTGCCTGATTAGAAAACTGTTTGAAAATCTCTTTCTCCTGCAGTTAACCGTATCATGCAATCTTCTTCACAAACTCTTATCAAACTCTTACTTCAGCCTATTCAGGTTTTTTACCTCCACTGCTCTCCTTGGGGTACTGTTTCAGAACATCACTGCCCCAACAGTTAGAAACCTTCTTATTTCCAGCATAAATTTACTTGTGGCTGGTTTTGATCCACGTGTTCTGCCAAGAGTATCCCTTGGCATGAAGAGTGCCTCTGTCTCCTTAGTATTTTACTCCATTGGTACATCAACAGAAAGCAATCATATCCTCTCTCAGCCCCTAGTTCACTAGTCGGAGTAAGCCACACTCTTACCTGTTCCCCCGAGCACCTCTCTGTCCTTCTCTGCACCTCATCCAGTTGGATTTCATCCTTCCTGAGATAGGCCCTTCAACTCGAGAAGCAGGAGAAATCCCTCCAGCACCTGGTGCAATGCTCTTGTCTCTCCATTTCTTCAGGAAACGTTACCCCCTAAATAGTAAGACTGTATTTACGGTTTTCATCACTGCTTTTCCTTTCTGGTTTGCACTCATCCTGCAATCCATGTAACTCATGTATGTCTCTTCTTTGTTCTTCCCAGCTGAAGTGCTGATAAGGAGAAGACCTTTATCAGGATTTTGTGGAAGGGCCTTTACCTGAAATGTAGTATCAGCTTCCCAAGCTGTCAGTGTCTCTTTTCGTGCCCTTCGAACTTAAATTGCAGAGGGAATTTGAAAAGAGAGGCTATATTCAGAGAACAACTAGATTTAAAAGCCCACTTAATTATCTGGTTACTTCTTTAGTTACCATGTTTTCATCCTTAGTCAGATCACCTCCTTCTTTTCTTCCTGGTTTACTGTCGGGTGTCGTTTTATACGAGGAAGTAGAACTGTGAAACGTGCAACTTGCAGTCAATAATGAAGTCTAATAACTTAACATTAACTGATCTAAATTAATTCCCCTACTAAAACCGTGTACTCTTGCTTGTTTTCTAGCTTCTAAAAAGGTGTTGCGTTCCCAGTCCAGCTGTATGTCTCCTTCAGATACACATCTCCTTCTGCTTATTGCTAGCCTGGCCAATGGGCGAAGCCCCACTTCACTGGGAAGCAAATGGTTTTATGCTGAATTAAGATCAACTGAGTGGTTTAGTGCCCCTTGCAGAATACAATTTTACGAGGCTTTCAAGAAACAGTTATGTTTTTTTCCCTGTGCTGCTACTTCTATCACCAAAGAGGTTTATTGCACCTATAGCAGTAAATCTATGAAAATCCGTGGAAGATGCAGGAAATGAGTGTAACTGGGCTTTAGAGCCTCTGAAACCAAACTGAGGGGAAGACTGCGTTTTGATTCATTAGCATTTCATTTTTTTATAATACAGACTTGCAACATCATGACATGTGGGACAGTGAATTTATAAACAGCTGCATTTACATTCTTACTCCATATGCAGATAACCTTGTAGCGCATTGAACAGTTCCCAGGCCTGTGGAAGCTAGAAATACAGCATGTTAACTTGATGCAACTCCGGTGACATATTCATAATTCAGGATGATAATTGTTCAAGGTGTTATTGTATTGAAATGTAATTATATATGACTTTCAATTTGAGATAGATGACTAGATTGTAGTGCATCGTTCTTAAAATTATCTGCATTCCCCCAAATAAAAGCTCTTGTTTTAGTTCTTCTGTAATCAATAACTGTTTCCAGATATTCCAGTGGATGGGGAAAGGTGTCTGGCCTCTTTGGTGGCTGAATATTGGCCACTGCCATAGCATTGAAGTATACAACTCCATACCTTCAATCCTTTTTTTAAATTCTGACGATATTTATATACTTTATACAATTTTGATGTTCAAAACTTTCCTAGCTATCTGTTCTCATTTCACCTTCTTCTTAAGCACAATTAAATTATCTCCTGCTTTGAAAAACAAAAGCCATCAGTCCTAAAACTTAACAGCTTGGTAACAGGTTTACATGATGGTAAACAGCTTGGGAACCAAACAGGAGGATGCAATACAAATATGAGATACGCTGTGTAGAGGGATGTCTAGGCATGGTGTGGAAGAAATTTAATGTTCTGAGTAACAGGACTGTCCTTGCCCTGTCAGAGACTGCCATAGCTGTTCTTTGTCATGGATACACTGACGCCAGTGGTGCCGGGAAATCAGGGCCAGCTCTCCGGATGTATGGGGTTGGAACTTTTGTATAGCTTCAGTTATTTTTTAGCTTAGGAGGTGTTCTTTTTTACATTTTAGTCTCAGCCTTAGCTTTATTTTTATGTGAATTTTTGAAGTTCATATTTTCATTTGCAAGCCGTACGTTGTGCTTTAGTCATTCTAAGCAAATTGGGTTCTCACTAAATAATGTAAGCAGTTTATTTTATGTTTTTCCACCAGCTAGAGCATGCATACTGATTGTGTTCTGCACCAGCAGGTCGAGTCACACTATATTATATCATTACCTAGCAAGCCAGGCACAATCAATTATATTCTGCCTTGGCAAATTCATTCATTATTTTATCCAAGACGCAGCTATAAAGATTCAGAATTTCTGGATATAATAGCAATTTCCAAATGAAGAAATTGCATATATTTCATAATAAATCAAGGAAGTCATGTATCTTGATTTAGAATCGTGGAGAGTATCTGTGACAAAGGACTTGGCTACACAGATAAACATGATACTCAAAACATTTCAGCACTAGAAATCTGAAATTATGCTAGCTGAAACCTTGCTTGCTGATGCTTACTGATGCTTCTGACGCTTGCTGATGCTTACCGAGCAGATGACAGCCTTCCCATTACATCAAGAAACAAGCCATAAAAGAGAGTGGGTTTTAACATAATGGAGAAGAGAGGGTGCAAGTTGAGGGCAGTAGGTTCCAATTTCATTTTTGCCAGCACGGATCCTAAGCAATGCCCATGAATTGGGGATTTACGTAGACTTGACTGAGATGAAAATTTGTCCCTTACTGGAAACAAAGGAGAAGAATTAGGAGCCTCCATTAAAAGCAGGTACTTCACCATCCTGATCCAAATCACTGAAGGCAGTATGGGCGTTTCTGCTGGCTTCAGTGGGCTTCAGTTCATTTTCCTAAATTAGGAAAGTCTGCCACTCAAGGAATAATCTTTAAAAAAATTCACAGTTCCATGACTGTGGAGATAAAGACCATGCCTTATTGTGACTCCCTATGCTTCACACAGTCCTTTTTTTGTTAGTGAAGGATGGCTATGATGTCTGTGGTTTGGGAGCAGGAGGTAGAATTGGTTTGGTTTGGGCGAGGATTGTTTGTTTATCAGTGTGACTTTTACTTGGCAGCCATCCATAAACACCTGAAAGACTTCT